TTGCATTTAGGGGTAGGTAAGTATTTGTACTCAGTGTTGAGTAGTTGCTAACCCAAGAATCTAGGCCCTGTCTTTACTGACCTCTTACTGCGATATGGGTATATTGAGTATGAGGTAATTTTCAGATACTTTAAAAGTGAAAATACACTTTGTAAGCTGGTAATTATGGCACATTTCCTTTGATCATATTAATTTGGTGCCATACTTTTTTTTTTTTAAGATTTTATTTATTTATTTGACAGAGAGAGACACAATGAGAGAGGGAACACAAGCAGGGGGAGTGGGAGAGGGAGAAGCAGGCTTCCCGCTGAGCAGGGAGCCCGACGCGGGGCTCGATCCCAGGACCCTGGGATCATGACCTGAGCCGAAGGCAGACGCTTAATGACTGAGCCACCCAGGCGCCCCTGGTGCTGTGCTTCTTTTGAGTTTGGAATGTCTATGCTACTGTTCACAGTTTTCTCATTACTCTTCTCTCTCCATTTGAAATTACCATTTTGAAAGCATTTATTTTTTAGCTTCACTTGGCTTGCAGGGTTCTCTCAGCCTAAAACAATGCTTTTTTTTTTTAAGATTTTTTTTATTTGTCATGTCAGAGAGAGAGAGACCACAAGCAGGGGGAGCGACAGGCAGAGCAGACAGAGGGAGAAGCAGGCTCCCCGCTGAGCAAGGAGCCCGATGTAGGACTTGATTCCAGGACCCTGAGATCATGACCTGAGCCAAAGGCAGACACTTAACCAGCTGAGCCACCCAGGCATCCTCAAAACAATGCATTTCTTGGTAGTGGTAGGATCTAAATGGCAAAATACCCAATTTACCCTGATTATAATACCCAAATACCCAATACCCCTGATTACACAGCAGTACCTGCCTGTAACGGGGATAATTCCGATGAGCCTGATGCTAAGAAAATCTCCTACCTGAGACCTGAGACTCCCCTGACGCTGGGGCACAAAGGCTTTACCTTTTTATGGAAAGCAGTAGGGAGTAATATCCCGTGACTGTGGTATAGTTTTTAGCAACACATGGTCAAGTTTTGTGAGCCTCTTTCCAGAGAACGGTTGCCTGTCTGCATCAAGTAGGGAGAACATTTAATGTCTGCCTATCTGCACAGGTTAGGAACCATGCTTGCTTGCTTTTTATGATTTTAATTATTGAATAAGAGAAATTTCTTCTTCAGTGACCCAAAAGAAGTAAGAGTTGTTACTGGATATATTCATGGGCCCATAATTTTTGTCTTTGGGAAATCAATTAAGGGGGTCAGAATTTCATTTCTGGCAGAAGTGGTTCAAGAAATATCTGTCAAGCTTCTTGACACTCCATTTCATAGGAAATACAGGAAGTGCGAAATCCTTCCGTTGATGTGTGTCTCTTGATTTTCTGCAGTTTCCTTCTTACTGTGTTAAATAATGGATGATCTTGCCCTGACATAAATGACATCTTTTTTTTCCAGTTTTCTTGAAAATAATTGACATACATCACTGCATAAGTTTAAGATTACAGCATGATGGCTTGATTTACATATATTGTGAAATGATTACCATAATAGGTTCAGCTAACACCCATCTTCTCATGTAGAAACAATATAAAGAAGAAAAGGAAAAAGGAAAAAAAATTTCTCTTTGTGATGAGAACTTAGGATTTACTCCCTTAAGTTTTCTATATATCGTATATCAGTGTTAGTCATTGTGTACATTACATGGAAAGGCATCCTTAATTGTGGCAATCCTTATTATAGCTTTGTATTTTATTTTTATAAAATAAGAATTTTATTTTTATAAAAATAAAATAGGCATTTATTTTAAATAATACATTATATATTATAAATTTATAAAAATAAATATAAAAATATAAATTATATATTATAAATTATACAATTATAAATATTTATATACTTATTTTATTATAGTTTTTAAAATTATTGTCAGAAGACTCCTACGGTTCTACAGACTTCAGATTAGTATGTTTAGCTTTCAACATTGAGATTGCTGTGTTTAGGCATAGTGTACAAAGAAAGTAATATTTTATGACTAATGCCATATAAAAAATTCTGCTAGTTGAATATCAATAGTCCATTCCCATGACAAGAAAATCTGACCAAATTCCAATTAAAAGAAATGTACTTACATGGCATCAAATGAAACATGTTCATTTGGTATTTTCATTTGTTTCTTAAATATAGGGCTTTAAAGCTTACAAATGGCCATCTCATAATAGACTTCCAAAAATATACACACTTTGATAATTTGTATCCAAATCTTTTCAAATATCACATTCACCTTTGGTGTAGGAATTTTCTGCCCCTAATAGCCCATTGTCTGACATTTTCATTCCCAGAGGAGCAGAGTGTCTAAGAGTATAGGCTCTGGAATCAGACTGCCTGGGTTTGAATCCTTGCTCTGCTGCTTACCAGCTGTGTCCATGAGCAAATTTCTTAATCTCTCTGAGCCTTTGTCCCCTCATCTGTAGAATGTTGGTAACTATAAAAGCACCTCTATTATAGAGCTGTTGTGAGGCAGAGTTAATACAAGGAAAGTCCTTAGCACAGTACCTGTCATATTGGGCTCCAAAAGTGGAGCCATTGTTATTTAACAATTTATGCTTAAAATCAACCTAAAGTGCATTTTTAGTTTTACCATCTTATTTTTTTCTTATGTATCATTGACAGTGATCCCTTATTTGAGGGATGGGTAACCTTAAAAACATTTTTTATTAAAATATGTTGCTTAAGAAAAAAAAAGATAAAATAGATATGTAGCTTTGTGAAAACCGTAAGAAAATCTTGTTTTTTTATTTGATGGACGTTCCTGGTTATCGAATTTTAGTCACCTTTGTTTTCCCAGCCTTTCAGAGAAATAGGTAGATATATGTACCATTAAGTGATAAATTTAGACAACAATTATGTTTTCAAGTGGATAAATTATATTAATACCTGGATGTATTTTTGTCATGGTGATATAATACAACTTATACTACAAGGTGAATGAAGGACAGATTTGACATATTGCTTTGCCCACTTTTAGTTGAGGCATGACAGTCTGGAGATAATGACAAAAATATAAATGCTCAAAATAAAACCATTAGAATTTCTATGCTTTTCTGTCACTACCAGTCCTTCATTTGTAATAGATTGCTCTTCAACTATTTGTGTTAAAAGTAACTCTTCTTGGGAAATACTTACAGTTCATGTTGGGATATGACTTGCATTTTGAATTTTCAGTTAACTAACAAATATACTTGTAAACTTTGAAAACAAGTTCTGCTTCAGCAGTGAAAATTGTAATTTGATGTTTGTCAATTTGCAAAATAAAATCATGCATTTATAAACACTCCACAAATTTTTAATAATATTGTTAATGTCAATAAAGAGGAAAGGGATTTTGAATACAAGTAATGTAGAACTGTTCTTGTTTATGAAAGCCAAATCATAAGGTCTTTAACAATTGGCTCTTTATTTTCCTTTTCAATTTATTGCAGTTTGTTTTTACTGTTTTGGACCACCAGGCAGCATCAGATCATATTACTAAAACTTGTTTACATTAGCAACAAGTTAACTTGATTTTATTACCAGAATATGGATTATGATTTCCAACCAATTATTAAAATGTCGATGGTTTTCAAATAATCAACTTTGTCTTTAAGGTTTTTGGTTTGTTTTTTAGGTTATAGTTATATGCAGGATAGAAAGTGTACAAAAATATTAAGCAGAGAATAAAAATAATTTCTGTACAAGAGAGAAAGGAATACTTAAGGTTGCAGGAATGTTGGACCTGTTGGTGCCATGTAGAATAACATGTACCAGGCCATAACTTTCGGGAGTATTTCTGAATTTTGACTGGCATACAAATGGAATTTAAAGTTTCATAAAAAGCTCCCTGTGGCCAAAATAGTGTATTTTTCACCTCTACAATTCACAATAACTTGTGTGAAAACTTTCATACTAAAACTACAATAAAAGAACATGTACCTGGAAATGTCCAATGAGTGTGAGTAATGCTGTAATCCCTGCAATCATGACTTTAATTTGGGTGAACACTGGGAAAAGTCTGGCATGACCCCTGACACACACACACACACACACACACACACACACACACGCCCCGAAAACATAGATAAAATATTCCTCATATTGGTCAAAATGGATTATTGCTGCTGCTACCCTTTACTCTCCTTCAGATGTCATTTAACTTTTTTCTACAGTTATACTTAAGCATTTCAGAAGTGTAAACAAAATTTACTTTTGAGGCTATTTCAAGGGTATTTTTGGCTAGACTGTCATCCATGTTAGTAATGGAATATGGAGCAGAGCCTTACATCTTTTAAAATATATTTTCACAAGACTTTGAAGCACACTACGAGGCTGTTTCATTTTGTAAGTGCAGAAACCAAGGTCTGGGAGAGTGACTGCCCAAAACGCAGCTGGTAGCTGGCTGCGCCCAAAACCCGAAGCCAACCGCCAGGTGCAGGTACGAGGCATGACGTCACCGGCGGTGCCAGGCGGCGGCTCCGAGAGCTGCGGACGTGGGCTGGGCCGGAAGCGGTGCCGCAGGAGGCTCGCCTCGCTCCGCCCCACGCGAGCCAGTCTTTGCGCCTCCCAGGCAGCGGTCAGAGGAGCCGGAGTTGGGGGGCGAGGCGCCAGCGGGCCCCGCCCCTCAGGCCGGTCCCACCCATCAGGGCAGCCCCGCTCCTCCTGCCGTGGCGTGGCCGGGCGCGGCGCAAGGTGGGCGCTGCCGGTGAGTCCCGCTTGGTGACGCCCGGCTCGGTCGGCGCCTGGGTGGGGAGGCGGAGGAGGGAAATGGGCTGATCGGCCATTACGTTCTATCTTGCTAGCGCCAGCAGCCCTGTGGCGGCGACGACGATGGACCCAGAGCCTGCGAGCCGTGCGGAAGGAGGAGAAGCAGTTGCAGCCTCGGGAGCTGCGGCCGCCGCGACGTTCAGGGAATCGGCTCGACAGGTAAGTGCGGCCGCCGAGGGAGGCGGCGGCGCGGAGGCGGGGGCCAGGAGAGCCCCGTCTCGTGTCTGTCTCGTCCGCCGGCTGCCCTTTCGGCCTGCCCGGCCTTCCCCCGAGCAGGCCGCCAGCTGGAGATGAGTTTCGGGGCTCTTTCTCACGGTAGCCCCACCTCTGCCCAAAGACACCGGCTTGGGGGAAGGGGCGGACGCCTCCCCACAGCCGGGCGGCCCTCAGCAGCCCCTCCGCTGGCCGCGCCGCAGACCGTGGGGCTTGCGGGGGTGCTGCTCCAGCTTCGGGTCTGCGAGCGAGAGAAGGAAGGCGTGTCCCCGCAAGGCTGTCCTTAGAGTAATTGGAAGCCAGGTGACGGCGGCTTCAGACACTTTTCAGCCTCTCGGTATGTGAGCGCCTGACTTGGCTTGTGCCCTTTGGTAGGCTAATAGCAACTATGTGCTGAGCGTTTACAGGCTTTATTTCACTTAATCCTAATAACTTCTGCATGATGTGGGCGTTATCCCCATTTCACCCGCGTGGTAACCAAGGCTCGGAGCTGCCCAACAGAAACCTAATGGGAGCCACATTGTAAATTGTACGTTTTCTAGTAGCCATATTAAAAAAAATAAAAATAAATTTTCATGTTTTATTGTATGTTATTAATATCTTATTGAATCTAATTTAACAAAAAACTTCAGAACTTAATGTGAAAGTTAATCATGTATTTTAGTTAATCAGTGTATTTTACATTTCTCTTTTTGGTACGAGTCTTAGAAATCCTGTGTGTGTGTTACACCTACTGCACATCTCGGTTTGAACTATTCTCATTTTATGGGAGCAATTAGCCACATGTGGCTAGTGGTTGCTGTGTTGGATAGGGTAAGTTTAGAGAGTTAGGTAAGGTTTGGAGGCTTGTTTTGTTTTGGATTTGGTAGTCTAAAGTAATAGTTTAGAATCTTTGGCCAAGTAAAACTAATGAAGAAATTGCTTTAACTGAAACTAGCTCAGGAGTATACAGTTTGGGCCATAAAAAACCTGAGTTGCTCCTCTGTAGAAATCTTCCCACCTTGAGTGAAAATGAAGCCTTTTTAGTAGCTTCATTTTTGAGACTAACTACTAAAATGTTAGTAAGACATTCTCCGAAACGACAGATTCCTAAGGAACTAAATAGTGCCTGAATGTGAGTATAGCTTTTGTAGTATAAGATGTAGTTTGCATGCACAAAAACTTTTCCACATACTAGTGTTTATATGGAATTTCTTGTTTTTCTCCTACTTAAGGAGGAAAGTAACCAGCAAGAAGGAATTCAGTGGAATTCAGGGGCAACACTGATTGATTAGATTCATTTTCAGTTGAGACCTGTTGCTGACAGGTACAGATGAACTGGACCTTTAAGTCCACGGTCCTGGGTGTATTTTCCATTTAATTTTTCCTTCTATTACTGTAATTGTTTTCACAACTGCATCAAGCTTGGAATCGCTCTAATAGCAAAGTAAACATACCTGTATTGATTTACCAGCTAAGTATTGTTTGAAGAGAGGTTTTTCCTTTTGGTTTAGTGATAGTCATGTTATTTTCATATTCTTGGTTGAAAAAATAATAGATATCTAAATAGTAAGGGAGGCTGTTGAGCAGAAAGTAGAAAGTTATAGGAATACTCCCATGGCCAGTATCTCACATTCACCAAAAGTAAGTTTGTGTTGTAATCATTCTGGTATTTCCTGTGCATATATAATCTCTTCTTTGGTGTTAAACACAAATGGATTCATACTATACAAACTATTTTCTAACTTTCCCTTTTTGCTCTCATTCACATTCCTGAAGCAGAAACATCTCTGGGAACCCCAGATCTATGCTTTTGAGTATAGTAAGAGAAAAGAGGCCAGTGAGGCGGGGACTTGGATGGAAGGAGAGCCTGCTGTCCTTCATCAGTTTGTCAGAACCGAGAAATTCCAAGTGCAGTGTAGGGAAAGGAGTAAGAAATAGGAGCTTGGCTCTGTGTTTAGAATTTCACCTTAAACCAGGCCATACAGTACCTGTTGTGACATTTTATCAGGCAAGTTCTCTGACTAAACTCTTAACCAAAATCTGAGCCTCAGTATTATTAAAGAAGTTAAAATTTCAGTACTACTCATTCATTTATGTAGCACTTCTGCTACCAAGAACTTATGATGTACTAGGAACTATAGATTACAGGATATAGCAGTGAAGGATACACACTGTGGAGTGCCTACTCCTCTATGTTGCTAGCTAACTAGCTGGGAAAGGTGATACAGAATAAAATCCATGATGTGTAGTACATGTTTTAAAGAAGTTCTAGGTGCTATGAAAGTGTATAAAAAGATTGCCATTAAAATCAGGCCCCAGGAAACCAGATAAAACAGATTTACAGTCTGATGGTTAATCATAAAATTTGATAAAAAATGAATTGACAATGCATCTATTAATTTTCTGGTGTTAGGAACCTCTTTTTTTCAGATCTTTGGAATTTGTTAAAATGGAATTTGTAATATTGACAGTGAAATTTTTCTTACTAAGAGGTTTATTGTTTATCTGTAAAAAAGAAACATTTGTAAAATTTAGAGAATAACTTTCATTTATAATTGTTGGAAATTTTTCAGCAAATTAATTTTCTGGTTGGTTTTTATCCATCAATACCTCCCTTCTCTGTTTCCCCTCTTTTATTCCCTAGAGGTCAGAATCACATGCCATCGATTGTCTCTCACAGATTTTTTTACTTGCCAGTTTGGTTCCTTAAGATGAGATGTTGACAGAAGTATAGCCTATGGGCCAGATCCCACCAGCCACCTGTTTATATAAAGTTTTATTTGAACACAGCTATACCTGATTATTATGTGTTGTCCATGGCTGCTTTCACAGAGTTCAGTAGTTGTGATAGAAGCTGGATAGCCTGCAAAGTCTAGACTTATTTACCATCTGGCCTTTGTTTTTAAGAAAAAGTTTGCTTACTCCCATTTAAGAAGATAAACCTAAAACTTGGGTTTTACTATATCAAAAATTAATATTAAAATTTTTAATGAAAGCCCTTAAATAAAAGTCTCCTTAGTAAAAATCTTTATATGAAATGTTATTAGAGCAAAGAAAATCCATTTTTAATTATATATTATGTATAGAGAATATTACTCAAAGTTTTGTTTAAACTTAACTAACTTTGGTATTGGAATGAAAAATATGAATCAAGGGATGCCTGGGTGGTTCAGTCAGTTAAGCATCTGCCTTCCGCTTAGGTTGTGATGCCAGGGTTCTGGGACTGAGTCCCACACTGGGCTCCCTGCTCAGAGAGTCTGCTTCTCCCTCTCCTGCTTCTGCTTGTGCTCTCTCTCTCTCTCTCTCTCTGACAAATAAAGAAAATCTTTTAAAAAAAAGATAAAAATAATCATATTTCAGCCTTCACCTTTGTAGGTTTAAAAAAAAATCTTTTGGAAAGAATATACCCAAGAGTGAGAGTTAATGGAGATAGTAGCTAAGTTTATACTAACTGTTATGATCCAGCTGGAATGTTTTGACTTATTAAAGTTGTCTAGGGAAGGTAAAGTAGTTGAGCCAATGAGAGATAGCCCTTCTCCTTTGCTTTTGTCTAAGGAAGGAAAAATTGAGCCAGTGAGAAGCTGCTTCTGCTCTAATGGTGGTGGAACAGGTCATGGTGATGCACCCTGAAAGGTCTCAGCTCTATTCACTGACTGGAACCCGTTGCTTTGGCATTAGATCCATTCAGGTAGTGTGACGACTGGAGATCTAACCCAACTTCTCTGACTTTCCCTTGCTTGTAAAGGGATCCACAGACCTGAGTAATGGTTCAGAAGGTAATGTTGATGTCAGAACAACCATAAACCAAATCTTATTTTAAGGGGAAAAATGAGGTAGAGCAGGAATGGCTCACCATGTCTAGGGACGAGGTGAACTTGATGGGTCATTTTTTTCTTTTTAATTTTAAAGATTTTATTTATTTGTCAGAGCGATGGGGTGGGGAGCACAAGCAAGGGGAGTGGGCAGGCAGAGGGAGAAGCAGGCTCCCCACTGAGCAGGGAGCCCGACGTGGGGCTCGATCCCAGGACCCCAGGATCATGACCTGAGCCAAAGGCAGACGCTTAACCGACTGAGCCACCCAGGTGTCCCCGTGGTGGACCGTTCGTTGTTCATTTTGTTTATGGACATTATAAATGGGCTGGTCTTCCATTGTTAAGGGCTGGGATTTGTTTGAACTCTCAAGACAGGCTAGGGAGAATTGTGGCTTTTGTTTTTTCAGGTTAATACATAGATAGCCCATGCTGTCAAGGTTTTCATGATCTCAGTTTGCTATACAGCAGTTATAGTTGCTGTCAGTGATGTCTTCATGTGTCGTGGAGCAATGCATGTGTTTTTTAGGTTGGATATACCTGGATTCACATCCTGGCTAATGACTAAACTTACCTTTGGGAAGTGAAGAATAGAGAGTCATATATATTTTCTAAGAAGGAACTTAGAGGATTCAGAGGAAATACGACAAAAATGAAGTTACTTATATTTGCATAACTGGGCAATCCTAGTCCACTATTTTTATCAGTAGAATCCCATCTCTGCAACTGCAGTTCAGAGAACTTTCTTTCTTACTGGTTGAACAACATTCATGGGTTTAAATTGTGTGGTCATATCCACAAGTGTTAAGAATCCTTATAGAGGACAAAATTTTTGAACTCTGGACCATCCTAGAGAAGCCCACCAATGTGGACTTTAATCGTGGCAGTCCTGTAGTCCTGTATCATTTTGTTTGGTTTAGTTTTAAAATTATATACGTAATACATGAACATATTCTCACCACAAAACAAACCAAACAACAAAATACAAAAAAGAGTAACAGGCCCCCATGACTACTCCCTTACCTGTACCTCCTCCCCTGTCTCAGTACCTATCCCTAGGAGTAACCACTGCTGGGTTTTTCTTCACAATTGTACTGTGCTTTTTTGAAGTATTCTAGTAAGGAGATGAAATAAAGGTTTTCTTAGGAGTTAAAACTTGAGGCAAGATAACAGTGAGAAGCTCTTTGTCCTCTCCCATAATATGCATTTACTCTCAGTTGGGAACATGGGTAAATATTTGAGGTAAAATTAGTATTTCCCTAGGAATGAAATTTGGATGTAATTAGAATTCCATAGACTATTGTACTAAAATTTGTAAAATCCTTTTACTGTCAGGAAAACTCTGTTGTCACCTATGCATTATTGACTAAGAAATCTGAAAGCTCAGCAATAGAACACTTATGGCTTGTTTTCCAGATTTGATCTACAAATGAGTTTTATTTGGATTGCACAGTGCTTTAAAACATTTTTTCAGTTTAAATGTCTTCGTTGGGGATGCTTTCTCCACAGGGTCTACCTTTCCCTATATAGTTTTGCTCACTTTCGGTGCTGCTTGGCCTTAAAAGGCATTTTAATTTGGAACTCCTGTTTTGAGAAAAGGTGAGAAGCAGAGTTAAGTTGAATGGGTTTTGCTTTGTCCACATGTAGCTAAGCCTACATCCAAGGATTTAGGAGAGTTCCCTGCCAAGAACTGTTATTTTATTTTATGTCTCTAATATATGTATAGGGTCCATCTATCTGATTTTCCTTTGATATTACACATTAATCTGTAAATAACATTATTCTTTAAAACAATTGATGTCCAGACTGTCTTTGCGTATTATATAGCATTGGAATTGCTATGTTTTGAAGTGTGGTGCTTGATTTCTTAGCTGCTGACTTCAAAAAAGTTTATTTGGTTAAATTCTATTTTTTACCCTCAGCAGAGAGTATGTAGATGTTTGCTTTATTATTCATTAAACTCTACATTTATGTTATTTATACTCTTGTGTGTGTATGATGTCTTAATTTAAAAAAAATTAAGGATTGGTTTATGTTTCTTTTTTCCCTAAAATAAAGCAACCAATAATTTGCCATATGAAAGAAAATTAATCTCCCTTGAAACTCATTATCTTATTATTATCATTAGATGAATAGTGAAAGAGGCTTTGAAAATGTAGAACTGGGAGTCATAGGAAAGAAGAAGAAAGTCCCGAGGAGAGTCATCCACTTTGTAAGTGGTGAAACAATGGAAGAATACAGCACAGATGAAGATGAAGTCGACGGCCCGGAGAAGAAAGATGTTTTGCCTACTGTTGATCCGGTAGGTCTGACGCTTTTGTCAGTAGTTTTTTATGAGACTCACACGCTGCCTACTGCTCTAAGAAGGCACTGTCACTAGTTTTCTAAATTGATTTGTTTCCTCTTAAACAGCAAATGGAAGGGGTCTTTTGAGGTTTAAATCAACTATATTTTGATTATAAAAATATGCAGTATGATTTTGGTAGAAAATAGTATTTTTACAAATATGGATGGAAATATTTCTGCATTTCGGTAGTCTGAAATAGTTTGAGTGTCAGAGTTCTTTGTCAGTGTGGTAGGTTTCTTTAAGATTTATCTTACTACATAGAGTGCTTGAATCCCAGTCCCTTTGAACTAAGGACTATGCTGACATAGTAGTTTCCACCTAAAATTTAGGCTTTGTCAGTTCTTTTCCACATCAATGCCCTGAGTTTCGATTGGAAGATAGGAGTGCACAGTTCTTAACTTTATGTGCCTCATCAGCTAAATTTAAGAATTTCTAAATTATACATGATGTAACTATAAAATTATAGGACAAGCTGTACATTCTTAAAAAGTAGTGTTGTCCTTCTAAGTAGTCTTTGGAGAGTTTTGTTGATCCATATTTACTGACTTTCTTAGTAGGTACTGTTTTAGGCACTGGTGATACAGCCATGGGCAACATAAATTTTTGCTCTTGTATGCTAGTGGGCAGACAGGGAATAAACACATACTATAATTATCAGACTGTAAAGTGCTATGAAGAAGGGTAGCAGGATAGAGAATTATTATTGTGTATTTGATTTAAAAAATGTTATTACTAGTATTTCATCAGATTTGGTTTTTTTTTTTTTTTAAGATTTTATTTATGTATTTGACAGAGAGAGACACAGTAAGAGAGGGAACACAAGCAGGGGGAGTGGGAGAGGGAGAAGCAGGCTTCCCACCGAGGGGGGATCCCGATGTGGGGCTTGATCCCAGGACCCTGGGATCATGACCTGAGCCGAAGGCAGACGCTTAACGACTGAGCCACCCAAGCGCCTCTGGATTTGGCTTTTGATAGATTTTGGTTATTAAAAAAATATTAGATCCTGAGTCTCTACTATGGAATATATTCAAAGGACCTTGCAGTATACTCTGATGGCATTTCTAAATGCATGCAGAATATTATATAGAGGTGTTTCATGTACTGGGAGAATTGTTGGAATAAGTATTTTTCTTTTAAATTACTTTGAAGGGGTTAATTCTTATTTGTCTGTATACATTTGTATCTCTCTGTATGTTTTTAAAAGTCATGGTCTCAATAGTTGCTCTCTATTACATAGAAAGTGATAAAAAAAAGCATTGCATAATACGGCGCCTGGATGGTTCAGTCAACTGACTCTTGATTTGGGCTTAGGTCATGATCTCTGGGTTGTGGGATTGAGCCCTGCATTGGGCTCCACGCTCAGTGTGCAGTCTGCTTGTCCCTCTCTCTCTGTTCCTCCCCTGCTCACATACTTTCTCTCTCTCTCTCAAATAAATAATAAATAAAATCTTTCAAAAGTAAAAGCATTGTGTAGAAAAAAATGCATCCTTACTACTTGCCTAAAAATTTACACTTTTTTAACAAGCTTTATTGAGATACAGTTCACATAGCATACAATTCACTGACTTAAAGTTACAGTGATGTGGCTTTTAGTATATTCATAGATGTGCACAACCATTACCACAGTCAGTTTTAGTACATTTGCATCACCTCAGAAAGAAACTCAGTACCCTTTAGTTATCGTTCCTTATCCTTCATCTCCCCAGCTCCTGATAATCAAAATCTACTTTCTGTCTATAGATTTCCCTATTATGTACATTTCATAGAATGAAATCATATAACAGGTGATCTTTTGTAACTGGTTTCTTTCATTTAGCATGTTTTCAAGGTTCATGTTATAGCATGTGTCAGAATTTCATTCCTTTTTTTGATATACCACATTTGTCAGTACATGGACATTGGGGTTATTTCCACCTTTTGGCTACTATGAATACTGCTGTGAACGTTTGGATACAGGTTTTAATTTCTCTTGGTTACGTACCTATGAGTGGAATTGCCGGGTCATATGCTAACTATATTTAATCATTTGAGAAATTGCCTTGTTCTTTATTCTGTTGATAATGGTGACATTGATTGATTTTTGGCCGTGAAGCTAGCCTTACGTTCCTAGGATAAAACCCACTTGATCATGGCATATAATTCTTTTTATATGTTGATGGATTTAGTTTGCTAGTAATTATTGGGAATATTTGCACCCATATTCATAAAAAATACAGGTCTATAATTTTCTTATGATGTCTTTGTCTGGTTTTGGTTCCAGAGTACTACTGGCCTCATAAAATGAGTTAGGAACTGTTCCTTCTTCTTGGATTTTTTGTTGGTTGACTTTTTGGGAAGAGTTTGTGAAGAATTGGTATTAATTCTTATTTAAATGTTTGGTAGATCTCACCTGTGAAGCTGCCTAGGCTTTTCGTTGTGTATAGCTTTTTAATTCCTAAATTGTCTTATTTTTAAGTCCATTTTGGTAGTTTTGTTTATTTCATATAAGTTATCAAATCTGTTGTCATGCAGTTCATAGTATTCCTTTATAGTCCTTTTTATTTTTTCATTTCTGATTCTAGTTATTTGGGTCTTCCTTCTTTTTTCTTGATCAGTTTAGTTTAGCAAAAGTTTTATCAATTTTGTTGATCTTTTCCAAGAACCAGCTTTTGGTTTCAGTGATTTTCTCTCTTGTGTTTTTCTCCATTTCATTACTTTTCACACTAGTCTTTATTATTTCCTTCCTTTTGCTTGCTTTATGTCTAGTTTGCTCAGTTTTTTCCAGTGTCTTGAGTTGGAAAGTTAGGTTACCTTTCTTCTTTATTAATTAGCTATGAATTTTCCTTTAAGAACTGTTTTAGTTACATCTCCTAAGATTTGTATGTTACACCTTCATTTTCATTCATCTCAAAGTATTTTCTCTTTGACCTCTTGGTTATTTGAGAGTATGTTATTTACTTCCCATATATTTGTTAAGTTTTCATATTTTATTTTATGTTCTTGATTTCTTTTTCTTTTCTTTTCTTTAAGTAGGCTGCATACCCAGCTTGGAGCCCAATGTGGGGCTTGAACTCAACCCTGAGATCAAGACCTGAGCTGAGTTGGACATTTAACTGACTGAGCCACCCAGATTCTCCTGTTCTTGATTTCTAATTTCACCCCATGTGGTTGGAGAATATCCTTGTATTATTTCTCTCCTTTTAAATCTATTGAAGTTTGTTTTATGGCCTAGCATGTGGTCTGTCTTTGAGAATGTTCTCTTTGTACTTGAGGAGAATGTAGATTCTGTTGTTGTTAGGTCCTGTGTTCAGTATATGTCTGTTAGGTCTGGTTGGTTCATAGTGTTTTTCAAGTCTTCTATTTCCTTGTTGATCTGCCTAGTTGTCCTATTCGTTATTGACAAAGGGGTATCAAAGTCTCCAACTGTTACTGTTGAGTTGTCTATTCCCTTCATTTCTGTTGGTTTTTGTTCTTTTGAGCCCCTTCTACTGAATTTTGCATTTCAGTTATTGTGCTTTTCAACTCCAGAATTTCCATCTGGTTCTTGTTGTTAATTTTTTTTTTTAAGATTTATTTATTTTAGGGAGAGAGGGAGAGCATGGAGGTAGGGGTAGAGGGAGAGAGAGTGAGAGAAACAGACTCCCCGCTGACTGCGAAGCCCTACAACGTGGGGCTCTGTCTCATGAACCTGAGCCGAATCAAGTTGGATGCTTAATCAACTGAGCCACCCAGGTGCCCCTCTTGTTAATATTTTTTATCTCTTTATTGATATTCTTTATTCAATGCAACATTGTTATACCTTCATTTCTTTAATTATGGTTTCCTTCGTTCTTTGAACATACTTATAAAAGTTACTTTGACTTTTTTTCTGTTAAATCCAACATCTAGTCACTCATGGGTAGATTCTATTTCCTGCTTTTCTCCCTGTGAATAGAGCATATTTCTGTTTCTTTGTATGTCTCTTAATTTTTTGTACATTTTAGACAATATATTGCAACAACTCTGGGTACTGCCCTTGCCTTCTCCCTCCCTGCCCCCACCTCAGCCTTTAGTTTAGCCTGCATCTTCATAGAATCTAAGAACTTCCTCTCAATTACCTCTCACCACAGTCTCCACGGATTTTAAGAGCACCCTTTGGGCTTGGACGTTTCCAGCTCTGTTGCAAATGAAGTCAGTTCATTTGGGAAGAGATTAGGAGCTATCTGTTTTATGGCCTACTTTTCTTTCTGGGCAAAACCTCTTAGCCAGAGCTCTGAAGTTGGGGCTAGGGAAAGTGTTGCATTCCTGAGTGACAGCCCTACTTTAGGAGCTGAGTGCTCGGTGAAGGTGGGGAACCCTTAGATCTTTTTGGCTTTTTTCACTGCCTCATGAACAGAGGCTGTCAGTGCCCCGGGATTCTCAGTGGCACTGTGCCCATGGTAAAGCCTCCATTCCATAAACGGGCTGACAGAAGAAGGGAGCTCCCACCTGTCAGCTGCACTCACCTGAAACTTAGGCTCAGGAATAGGTGGCTTGTGGGCAAGATCAGAAATGCTGATTGATGTTCTGTCATGCAGTATTTGTTTTTCTGTGACTGGCTTATTTTACTAGCATAATGTCTTCAAGGTTCATCTATGTTGTTGTATATGGTAGGATTCCCTTTTTTTAAGGCTGATTTTCCATTATATATATTATCACATTTTCTTTATCCATTCATTCATCAGTGGACATTTAGGCTGTTTCTACTTCTTGGCTATTAGGAAGAATGCTACAGTGAAGATGGGAGTGGAAATATCTCTCTGAGGTCCTGATTTCAGTCCTTTTTGTTAAATACCAGTATTGTAAATGGGGAAAACAGCAGGATAGAGAAAGCACAACAATGTTGTAAAAACATACGTGCTCAGGGCGCCTGGGTGGCTCAGATGGTTGGGCCTCTGCCTTTGGCTCGGGTCGTGATCCTGGGGTCCTGGGACTGAGTCCCATATCGGGCTCCCTGCTCAGTGGGGAGCCTGCCTCTCCCTCTGCCTCCGCCTGTCTCTCTCTCTGTCTCTCATGAATAAATAAATAAAATATTAAAAAAACCCCAAACATATGTGCTCAGGAAAAGACTGGGAAAATATACTAAAATATTAGTGATAATTATCTACAGGTGGTGGAAAAATGGGTGACTTAGATTTTCTTTATACTTTGCTCCATTTTCTAAGTGTTCTATAAAAAATAAGCATTACTTTTGTAATCTAAAATAAGATGTTTGGGGGGTCTGGGTGGCTCAGTCATTAAGCGTCTGCCTTCGGCTCAGGTCATGATCCCAGGGTCCTGGGATCGAGCCCCGCATCGGGCTCCCTGCTCAGCGGGAAGCCTGCTTCTCCCTCTCCCACCCCCTCTGCTTGTGTTCCCTCTCTCGGTGTGTCTCTCTCTGTCAAATAAATAAATAAAATCTTTTAAAAAATGTTTAAAAACAAAAAAAGATAGCAAATCTGAATAGTTCTTATTAAGGAAGAGGTGGATACTCAATTATTCAGGAAGAGATGGATACTTAAATTTTTGGAGAAAAAAATGAATCAGCTTGAGTTTGCACCATAAACTGGAAGTCTTGAAGACCAAGATCTGGCCCATTTTTCTTATTCCTGGGGTGGTGGTGGTGGTAGTGATCCTGGCAGTGGTGGCAAGGTTCCAGTGTAGGCTCTTGAGTCATTTGTCCTTTTGATTCAGTAAGATCAGTGTCTAAACAAGAGCCCCATACATTCATTCTGTGTAATTGTGTGTGATAGTGATAGACGTTTTTCAGGGATCCTTATCTAATTCCTCAACCCTGGAGCAGGTTTGACTCTTTGGTAGTCAGTCACTGCATGGATATTAGCAATTGTTCCCTCTAGAAACAACCCCAGGAGAATTGGTCCACTGGGAAATATATGCTTTCCTTCAAAAACCTGCTTAATCCTTTTCTTAGTAGTTTCTTGGCCCTGTCGTTATCATGTGTTATAGAGACTGGTTCCATTCCCTATACTACTGCACTGTCCCATTTACTATAAAAACTGTAAGGTGAACACTAAGATGAGAGCATCTTAAACAGAGTCCCTAAAATAACCCTTACCCCCACATAAGAGAAATGCTTCCAGCTCTGAATATAGAAGATACAGTAGATTTGATTGAGTCATAAATATACAGTATTTTTTTAGTTGAATGTATTTGTTTGCTTGGACACTCATTCTTGTGTAAATAGAGATAAAAGAGCTAACTCACTTCTGTGTCTTTTCAAGAATATTATCACAGAAATCTGCATACCTGCTTTTCATGAGAAGACCGTTGTGTGTTTCCCCCTTTTCTCTTTAGCCCATCTACCTAGACTTACAGATATTCTTGTGTTTGCTGTTTTAATACCTTATAATCATGAATATATATCCTAGCTAAGAAGATTATGTATAATTTCATTGTTTTTCTCCTTCCTGGGAACAGTATTAAAATAATATCAATAATAATTATTGTTATTTGAGTGATTGTTCTATACTATACTTTCTTTTGGTAAACAGAAATATTAGTACAATGAAGCAGGCTTATATTACTGATTTCATCCACAGAAGCAAACTGTTGTCTGTGTTGGCAAGCTTCACAGAAGTGTTCTATGGGAATGACAGCACCAAGATTAACAATGGAATTGTGCAGTGTAGATTGCCTTCTGCCATTGGTCCTTCTTTACTCAATGTACGCTGAGCTTGTCTTGGGTTGTATGGTCTACGTCCTTCTTAATCCTTTTTTTTTAAGATTTTATTTATTTGTCAGAGAGAGAGAGAGAGCAAGCACAAGTAGGCAGACGCAGCCCCGCAGATGGAGAGGGAGAAGCAGGCTCCCCGCCGAGCAGGGAGCCCGATGCGGGACTTGATCCCAGGACCCCGGGATCATGACCTGAGCCGAAGGCAGACACTTAACCGACTGAGTCACACAGGTGCCCCTAGGCCCTTCTTAATCCTTAAAGAAACAAAAGAGCTCACATTGCCACTTACTGGTCACTTATTTTCCCGTCATTGAAAGTTCATTTGATGTGCTCTTACTTATCCTGTTTACTTTCTCTGAATGTTAATTTCCTTACTGTACTGTACGTGTGTTGTACTGTATGATTTCTTAAGGTCCCTTTGTATTTACTGCTTTCTATCTCTGATGTTGTGCCTATGAACAATGAAGACAAAAAAAGCAGCAGGACAGGAGCAGAGGCTCTAGATTGTCAATTCAAAAATAAGACTATGACTTACCAACTCCATTTTAGTGGCTGCTACTTTCTTCGGTTATTCCACGGGCTTAGGGTGGTGGTAGTTATATGGGTAATATAAAATGTCTTTGTAGAATTCTGTCTGTAAAGCTTTTAAATGTTTAATTGGATTGTAGTCTGTAGTACTTGTCTATACAATATTTTATGTGCCAACCAAATATTTGATTACTTCATTCTGGCCTAAATATACAGAATGGGTTTAGGTATGAAGATTGCTAACCTGACTTCTTGTTGCAGACAAAACTCACCTGGGGCCCCTACTTATGGTTTTACATGCTTCGAGCTGCCACATCAACCCTTTCAGGTATTACTTTTTCTGTTTGAGTATTGTATAACTACTATAATATGCTCCAAGAACAAGAACTTTACCAAATGGGGTGTTTCCAAAGTGAAGGAGAAAGAGTAGGGAGTTAATCACTCTGTTCTCAGCAGCTAGCTAGCATTGGAAGGTATTAATCTAACTTGTACTTCACTTTAAAACATTCTTCAGTTTCAAATTGTGGGTTTTTTTTAAAGAACTGAAAAATGGCTTTATTAATTTATTTTATATTAATTTTTATGTTTTTGAACCTTCTCTGTTAGCAACTATTTTGCTATTTTGTTATAAGGTTTCCTACTGATACTGTTCTTACTCTGACTATTCTAGAGCCTGTATTATATAATTAATTTATTTTTAATTTCATTAATATTTCGTATCTTAAGTTGAGCTATAACGAAGTCAGATTTGAAGGAAATGAATTATCAGCTTAGGACTTAATCATGCTGACTTTAAATATAGGTTTTAAATTATAAAGCTTTCCTCTGTTTCCAATTTTAACTCCCTGATAGCTTCTATCATTTTTTGCTTTTTATTAGAGGTAATCTTGAATAGTAATTCATTCAAGAAACATTTACTGAGCACTCAATATTACTAGACAGTGTGGTGTAAGGAGAAGCTTTACTTTCAGACCTGGATTACATTTTGGATCCTTCATCAGCCTCTCTGAGTCTAACCTTTCACAGTGCCTGGCATGAGGCAGGCACTCAGGGAATGTTATAGTGCAAGCCATTACTCCCCCATAGCCTAATGATGGCCCAACCTTCTAAGAGTATCTGTTTTTCTTGAAAAGTAGACATGTAATAGATAATTATAATACATGATGATACATGTATAATTGGAGGTATGAGCAGAGTGTTGTTGGGAACCCAGAAGGAGCCACTAGTGCCTCTTGAGGAAATCAAGGAAGATACACAGAAGAGAGGTATTGAGTGTTCATAATCTTTTGTATTCTTACATTGCTTTGCACATAGAAGGTGCTCAAGAAATATTTATGGAATTATATAAGCCATTTAACTTTCGTGTGTTTTTGTTTGTTTTTTGCCATTTAACTTTTGTATCTTTAGTGTGTGACTTTCTTGGAGAGAAGATTGCCTCTGTTTTGGGCATCAGCACCCCAAAATACCAATATGCCATTGATGAGTATTACCGGATGAAAAAGGAGGTGTGTCTCCTTTTTACATTTTTTTGATTCAGTTTGGTTTACTGTGGACTTCATGGGTTGTGTCATGAGCATATATATCCTCTCTAGCCACCCAAAAGAGAGCTCCCTTACGGTAGGCATTTCATTCTAGAGTTACTAATTAATCAACTTAGATACTTTTAATTTATATACTTATTTTTTAACATTGAAATTTCCCTAAGATCTTTATGTGAGACTAAGCTAGATTTCATTGTGCTGGGTGTTATGTGAGGTGCCTTATAGATGTTATCTTATTTAATCTTCATACATCTCTCCTTGGATTATTATTCCAGTTTTCAGATGAGGAAATAAGACAGTCTCTGTACTTAGAACCTGTAGACTGTAGTAGGAGAAGTGAAGCACAGAAAATTACAAGTACTAGAAATGTGTAAGTGCCAGGTGTTAAGGCACAAAGAGGTGAGGCAATTTTGTCTGCAAATGTAGTGAGGTCTTAGGGTCGGGGTGAAATTAGCCTCAAGGAATGAGAAAAGTTTAGCTCTTAAGAGCATAGGCTGAAGAACCAAAGGGTCCGAATTCAAATTCTGACTCTGCCACTTCTAACTTTGCAACCCTTGGGCAAGGTACTTAACCTTTGTAAGCCTCAGTTTCTTCATCTTTATAATGAGGAAAAGTGTGGCATCTATGTTCAGGGTTGCTCTGAGGATTAAATGAGTTGATATATAAAATGCTTAAAACAGCACCCAGTGTATATTGGTGAGCATGAAATAAATATTAAAATCTTCTATTATTCTTCAAGCAAATGGAGGGGGAATTCAGCTAAAGCTAGAATGTAGAGGCGTGAGGCTAAGTTGTGTATTTGGAACAGTGGCAGGAATGGTGCTTTGTCACTGGAGCAGAGTGCAACGGGAGAGTGGCTGGACATGAATCTGGAAAAAGCAGCTGACTTTATATTTGTTACATGGTTTCAAAAACGGTTTTTGAACAGATGAGTGTTTTTAACACTTCCAGCCATGTTTAGAGCCTCATTACCTAATCTGGACCATTGTAAACGACTCCTCAGTGTCTCTCTTGTTTTCTCTCAAGCAAGCTCTAAATTAATCTTCTTGACAGGTTACTTATTGTAACCTGTACTGTAAGTCTGTACTACAAACTACCCATACTGCATTGAACCAGTACAATTGCCACTTCCTCCATGAATTTAGTAGTTCTGGCACTAGAAATTATCTGTATACTAGCTGCTTAGGGGAACAATAACCATGTTATACCATTTAGTGAATAGACACCCCATTTAGCTGAATAGGCTGACACCCTATAATTGAAGTGATACAGTATTTAGCTATTTTTTATTTAGATTAGAATTGATCTGAAAAGATACAGCCTTTGTCAAAGTTAATTCAGGGCTCATCTAAGCAGTGCTGTACCATGCTTTAAAAATAACTTCCCTTTCTTTAAAATGTCATATGATAGTTTCCATTTTAGTTTGGGAACAGGGGACAAGGAGGTATGTCTTGTCTTAATTAGACCAAACTGAATTAGACATGACACTAATGTTTTAGTTCAAAAAAAAAAAAAAAGAGGCACAAGCAGTTGAAAGTGGGAAACAAATACTATTCCTTTTGGGCATTTATATTTCATCTTGATATATATATATATCATTCTTGATTATTTCCTCTTTTTAGGAAGAAGAAGAAGAAGAAGAAAACAGGATGCCTGAAGAAGCAGAAAGACAATACCAGCAGAATAAACTGCAGGCTGATTCCATTGTCCAGAGGGATCAACCAGAAACAGTGGTATCCAGTTCATTTGTGAATCTCAATTTTGAAATGGAGGGAGACTGTGAAGTAATTATGGAAAGCAAACAAAATCCAGTCTCTGTCCCACCATAGAATGACTATCAAACTTCAAACTCTAGGGTTTTTATAATACCAGGAACTTTCACATTCTTTATTCAGTGGGACTTAATACAATTATTTATATTTTAAATTATTATCTGGAAAGGGAAAAATGTTTCTTCATTCTTAGGCTCTAGCTAGCAAAAGCCAGATCTGAAATTTGATATTTGTACTATGCTTTTACTGTGTGTCACATTAGTGCTTTGGTTTTAAAATGTTCTTTAAAGAAATTAAGGACATTCTAGAGCCCTAATCGCCAATTAAGCGTTAAATTATCAAGCTTGTCTGTTATTGGTGTTTGTAAGAAAAAAATAGTTAAATTACTAAGACTAATTGGAGCTGATCTTCCTAATCTCAGATTAAAATGAGAATTTCCCCCTATTAGATCTTCTCATGTTGTCTTACATTTATATATCTAACCATTACATTAATTTCATACTAAGGATGGTTCACTGAGTGTGTAATAAAAGGAGCAAGACAAAAGCACTTTGATTTTTTTTTCCTTTAGAATATTTTATGAAAAGCTGATTAAGTTTATAACACCAAGTCTAAGACGGGTTTCCATTTTTTAATGCAGGTTACTTAATCTTACATTCTTTTTCAGCAGTTACTCAAATAACTAGCTTTGAACATAACGTTAAAAACACTAGTTATGGGATGTATTTATTAAGGTATTTGTATTCAAGTGGTAACATCTAGTGATTATCCACATGGCATCCTGGTTTTGTCACTCAGTAGACCCTGAGTGTTTCCTGTGGGCCAAGTAATTGGAGGGAGGAGGGTGGGGTGAGGGACAGATGAAGACTTGACCCTTCAGAGGCTTACTTTTGAATATTATACAAGGTGCCACAGTAGCATAGTGAAGTCACCAGTCATTCTCTTCTTTGAAGTTAACAACAGTAAAGTGGACAGTTTACTTAACCCGGGTTTGGTCAGCTCTCTAGAGCCCACTGTGCTATTGGCAACACTTACCGAAGGATAATATGAAACTAATTTTGAAAATTTTCATAAATATGTGCTCATAATCTTATGAGAGATCTGTGTGATTTTGATTTATAACTAAATGTGGGTAAGGAAGAATGTATGGAGTATTTCAGAAATGCTGCTCTTAAAAGCCTATTCACAGACTTAAGAGCTTTCACAGATTAATCGTTGTTCTAAACAGCATTAAACTGTCAATCTTAAATATTTTTATATAAAATATGGCTTCAAAGAAACTCATAGGTACAGTGGAGCTATTATGGAAATCTGTTGTCAGTATGAACATCTGGCCACTAAATTCTTCAAATGAAATTTGAAGGATTTGGAAAAGATAATTTTTCACTTGGAATCTTCAGTTACATGGATTTGTGGTATGGTAGTTATGCATGGTATGTGATGGTAATTTTTGGTCATGGTTGTAAACTCTTTTAATTTAGTACTTAAAGGATTAATCTTCAGATCATGTAATTAATGTCACAGTAAATTATAGTTTACCAGTAGCTCTAAAACATGCTAGCCCGACCTCTTCCCTCTAATTTGTTTTTAACTTCATTGAGATAGGACCTCCAACTCAGATATTTATTGGGTTTTCCAGGGAAGGCATGCATATCTAATGATGATCTGAATCTTTTCTCCCTAGAGGCACTAGATCTGAAAGCTTACCTAGTAACTTTTCTGATTGTAGAAGGAAGATTATGAAAGTTTTGTTTCTTAAATTTTACTTTCTCTAATTGTCCAACAGTGGCCAGTTTGTAATGTTTATATAGTTATTCACTGTGCCTTAAATCTTTATACTTTATTTATGCAAACTATAAAATTTCCCAGAAATGAATTAAATGGTTTTGTCTTATTTTTAAGCCTCTTTTACTTTCCTTCCTTTTCGACCCTTTTTATAATTACTATTCCCCCTGGATCATAGTTCATGATACTTTACCCTCTTCTAATCTTTCTTTTCATAAAAAACCGAAACAGAACAGTATAATTGAGAACATTTACACTGAATTAACCTCTAACAAAAATCCTTAACAAAGTGGAGTTGGAATTTTATAAAATGTGACCCTGGTACCAGTTAATAAAAGCTAGATAGATTTTTTTATACCAGTAAATTTAATTAAAGTGAAATAGTAACTTGAATATTTTTTACTGAAACATCCTATAAAAAGAAACATCATCTCCAAACACTTCTAACCCAGAAATGAAATGGCTCTATTCTAATGAATGGGAATTTTATAATCTATGATAGATAATACTTTAGAAGACTCAAGGTTAAATGACCACATATAAACTATCCCTCAAATATTTAAATTCTTAATGTCTAATGTCAAAAATATCCCATGAAAACTTCATTTCTAAAGATTATACAGATTTAAAGTGGACTCCTACCTTTACCAAATCACACTTCCCATATTTGAGCTAAGTGGAACAAGAATTTAGTATCTCCTCAAACAACATTTGGTCCTACTGCTTCCAAACTACTGCAACCAAGATTCCAATAATCAGAACATTTGCTGTATTCTATAGGCATATAAAGTGTTTTATTTAGGCTGTTTCCAAGGATTGTGCTTGAAAGGTTTTGCGTGCAGCATTCAAGCTTATCTTAATGAACACAGTCTAGTCTTTGAGAGATCATGTGTCGTCAAGGTCTGCAGAGTTTTCATTGTCATTTGCAACAAGAGCTTCTCTGTTCTCATAAGTCCAGAAGCCATTCAGATCGATGAGAATGGTGGTGACTGTGTCTCCTTGATTACTGTTGATTAAATCCTGAAGAGAGATTTTCAAAGGATCCTTTGGTTTAACCATGTCAAAGATTTCATCCTGCGAGAGAGAGAAAAACACAATGAAATCTGGGATCTGATCCACTAAATTTCTATTATACAGTGCTGTGAAATTCAAGGCTGGCACTTGAGCTTATGTAAAATTTTTGTTCTAGTTTTTTCTTTTCCAGTTCACACACAGGCAACCTCCTTTTGTCTATGTACAATCATAGAATTTTACTGGAAGATTCCTTAGGTATGTGATAGCTATCCCTCTTTTTTTTTTTTAAGATTTTATTTATTATTTTGACAGAGCGGGGGTGGGGAGGAGAGCACAAGCAGGGGGAGCAGCAGGCAGAGGGAGCGGGAGAAGCAGACTCCCTATGGAGCAGGAGCAGGAAGCCGGACACGGAACTTGATCCTAGGATCCTGGGATCATGTGACCTGGGCCGAAGGCAGATGCCTAAGTGACTGAGCCACCCAGGTGCCCCACTCTCCCTCATCTTAAAAGATGAGGGATAAACTCTGAGCTTAATCCAAACTACATAGCTGGTTAGTGGCAGAGTTTAATCCAAACTACATAGCTGGTTAGTGGCAAAACTAATGCAGTATTCTTTGAATACGTGTTAAGTATCTTAAACTTTTCTATTGTCTTCTAATTGGTGGTAATGTAAGGTCTTGCTTTAAGTGCAAACTCAGCTCCAAGTAAAAACATACATGCTTCCAAAGCCAAGATAATGACAAAGCTTCATTTCCAATATAGATGTCAACCTTTTATATTCTGGATCTAAGATGGGTGGTAGGTGGGAGAGGTTCAGTTTTAAAGAATTAGTCATCCAGAATGACAATGAAATTGTGCTAAAATTTACTAGAATAGATGGAAATACTTCTATATTATGAGGTATACCGTATGAGTATTTACAAGGAATTAGATACATGTTTTCTAATCTTTTTGTAGTAAAGTTACTCAGAGGATCCAGTGGCATTTAAGGAGGCAAATTACATTTTAAAAAGATTAGAACAATTCAGGGTGCCTGAGAGGCTCAATTGGTTGGGCATCCGATTTGATTTCAGCTCAGGTCATGATCTCAGGGTTGTGAGCTCGAGCTCTGTGCTTGGTGCAGTCTGCTTGTCCCTCTCCCTCCCCCTGCTTGTGTATGCATGCTCTCTTGATAAATAAATAAAATCTTTAAGGGTGCCTGGGTGGCTCAGTTGGTTAAGCGTCTGTCTGCCTTCAGCTCAGGTCATGATCCCAGGGCCCTGGGATCGAGTCCCGCGTCGGGCTCCCTGCTCCACAGGGAGTCTGCTTTTCCCTCTGCCCCTCCTCCCACTCGTTCTCTCAATCTCTCTCTGTCAAATAATAAATAAATAAAATCTTTAAAAAAAAGATTAAAACAATTCAGGTAAATGAAATGTATGAGCTTTTAATCTTGTATGTTTATGAAACTTCCTTTTCTAGGTTAGTGGCAACTTAAAATTACTAGTTCTTAGGTTGCCTGTTGAATAGTTTCAGATTTGTCTCATTTATATTAAACCAAAATAGCCCTTTATCTTACACTTAATTAAAATTGGACGGGTTCTTTCATTACATTACTTAAACTGAACCTGAATCTGTACTAGGTACTATAGGTTTTTCACAGCTGGTGACTGCAAAATGAAGCATTAGCATGTGTTTCAAATAGTGCTAGTTTTCATATTGTATGATTGATGGCTCCTTAATAATACAAAAGCAAGTAAGACCTTTGAAGGAGTAGATTTAAAAAATGCCCAAACCTAAATACAGTTGACCCTTGAACAACACAGGTCTGAAATGAATGAGTCCACTTAGACATGGATATTTTTGATAAATACAGTATACTGTAAATGCATTTCCTTTTCTGATGACTTTCTCAAGCTCCATTTTTAAGAATATAGTATGTAAAACATACATAAAATATGTTAGCTATGTTACTGTTTATATTGAGGCTTCCAGTCAACAGTAGGCTATGAGTAGTTAAGTTTTTGGGGGAGTCAAAAGTTCTACATAGATTTTCAATTGCATGGGGGAGGGGCATTGCCCCTAACTCCTGTGTTGTTCAAGGGTCAACTGTAGTTACCAAGATTAAAAAATCATTTTACAGTGGAATGGCTGCCAAAGGACTGCAGGCTATATTGATTCTCTTTATTTTCAATCAAAGTGAATGAATGCTTCCAATGAAAATACAATCTGACAATGCTAAAATCATAAACTATATAAATTATTAGTCCAAGTGTGGTCTCAATTGGTTCAGAATAAATAACAGCAAATACTTGATTCGGTTCAGTACTTCATAGTCATGTTTCTTTCATACAAAATTTCACTTAATATAGATGATTATCTGGTATTATGTATATTATTTTTTTAAAGATTTATCTTAAGAGTGTGTGTGCATGAGCAGGGGAAGGGGCAGAGGGAGAGAGGGAGGGGAAGCAGACTCCGCACAGAGCCCGATGTGGGCTCGATCGCAGGACCCTGATATCATGACCTGAGCCAAAACCAAGAGTCAAACTCTTAACCAACTGAGCCACCCAGGCGTCCCAACTGGTATCATGTATATTAAAAGAAAAGGTAAGGGGCGCCTGGCTGGCTGAGTTGGCAGAACACGTGGCTCCTGATCTCAGGGTCACAAGAGTTCAAAAGCCCCACATTGGGCATAGAGCTTACTTAAAGAAAAGAAAAGAAAAGGTAACCTTGACATCTTGAAATGAAACAGGATCTTGTCCATGGATTTTCATTAGTTCCTGTATGGCCTGTAGGGGTAGGAATAAGTCTGTAAATAAAAAATATACCACAGCCCCCCTTCCTGTCCCATGGCCCCTTTCTAGTCCCATGGCCTTTCCTATCAGACCACAAGGTTTATCATTTCAACCACTCTTGTCAATATTCTCAACTTCCTTGACCTTGCTTCACATCCAGTCAGCAAAACTTAATGATTGGTGTAACCATCAACCTTTCTAGATCTATACCTTGCTATTGAGAATTCCAAAAAAAAGTATACAAGGCCACAGATTATTGCTACTATACAGGAATGGTCTCCAGCCTCAGATGGGCCTTTACATGACCTAGCAATTATTCTGCTATGCCTGATCCTTGCATTTTCCAGGAATGCTGTTCATACCTTCACCATTCTTTAAGACACCCAATCTGCCACCTCTGCCTCCCCCCTATACTTTGCCTTGTACTTGACAGAAAAAAAAAATGGAGGTAAGCCTCCCTCAAATTCTCTTTTATAACCTTTAACAAAAAAATAAAACAAAAACACTAATGGAAGAAACTACTGTGATCCAGTTGGATTAATAAGTATTGTAGGCAAGAGTCATTCACTAGCAAATGTGAAGCTTAAAATTCGTGGTAAACAGTCAAATAAATATGTTGCAGGTGGGGTGCCTGGGTGGTTCAGTTGGTTAAGCGACTGCCTTCGGCTCAGGTCATGATCCTGGAGTCCCGGGATCGAGTCCTGCATTGGGCTCCCTGCTGAGCAGGGAGTCTGCTTCTCCCTCTGACCCTCCCCCCTCTCATGTTCTATTTCATTCTCGCTCTCAAATAAATAAATAAATAAAATATTAAAAAAAAATATGTTGCAGGTGCCTACTCTGTATGTGGTGCCACGGATGTCAGTGTGTGCATAGGTAATCTCTTTGAAGTAGGTGAGAATCAGCGTACTCACAGCCACTAGAGTAGTAGACCTGGAGATACAATCTAGAGTGCACCCTCTAGGCCGACCTTTATCACTGGGATACTGATGTACAAAGACTCTACGAACAGCTTAGGATTGTAGGACTCAGCACCAGTAAGTATTTACCTTAACCCATACAACCAAGCCTAAGTACTTTGATAAAATGCATGTATAAAATATTTTAAAAACAAAATTTCATATTCTAAGAGAAGGTACTGTAAAGAAGTCTTTATGAAAAAGGGTTGTGTGTTTAATTTCCAAAAATACTTACTCTTCCTAAAACTGAATTTTCATTTAATAGGTCTGCCTAAAGTGGGGCATCCCTATGATGGGTTGGTATCATATTCTCAGATTAGCCACGGATTCAATTTTTGGAAAATGTA